TAAGGCATGTCCCTCTTATGGGCTGCCTAAATCCCATTCTCCACTAGTCATCTAGCTTGAACTCAGCATCTTTTAAAGGTTTGTCTTCATTGGTAAAGGTTTGTCTTCATTGCATTGACGCAGGTTGTAGCTCCTGAGTCCTGCCCACCTCTCCTCTAGTCACAGGCTCGAAGGAACTGGTGCATGGGGCACAGCTGAAACACAGGCATCAGCTCCCATTTCCTTTCAGCCTCAGCTAGACATTGGGCTGGTTTGCACTGGGAGTAGCTCCCACAGCTTCATTCTCCCAGAGCTACCCTAAAATTTCGGCTGGACTACACTGTCTTCATTTGCTTATTCCTTCTGCTGTATTGCATTTTAAATCCACCTTCATTTGCTCTAGAGATTTAAGGCTTCTGCAGCGTGAGGACCGAGATGCCATTTACGAATACTTCTTCAAATCTTTTCAGAGGTATCAGCCCAGGTTTGGACACAGAGCACCCAAACACAGTTCAAGACACTGATGAAACATGAAATAAAACAAAACATCTCCTAACTAGAAAGTTAAAGATCCTGGAGGTCATGCGCAGATGGTAGAGAAGAACTTGACATTACACCTAACCTGCCCTTCAAAAAGACCAATGACTCCAATAGGAAAACCAAAAGCAGCACGAGAATACAATGGATTGACTGCCTGGCTTGGTATTCAAATACAACAGAAAATGTTATCTTGGCTCAATGATTTGCTGTGTCCTTGTTCTCATCTACAACATGGGTGACACCTACTACCACCTGTAGTTAAGAGACAACGCCAGGCAAACACCAGGTTGCCCAGAGCAATAGAGGGAAGAAGAATTTATCATAAATGAAATGCAGGCAGCCAGATGGTGCCTATTTCACTCTAGTCATATGTCACAAATGGTAAGTGAAGGACCAATTTAAGATTAAAAGTTGGTGCTGTTTGTATAAATTCTTTTTTTTTTTTTTTTCTATTATGCTTCCGTTTTGGTGAAGTAGAAAGGGGAATGTTACTTCTTTCTGAGCTTTCTATTCCTATGACGTCATGTTACTGCAGTTCATTCTACCAAGGTTGCTAAGCAGTGGTGTTTTCTACTGCTTTAGTCAATAGATTGGTGGGTTACTGGTTCACAAACTATAAGAAGACACATGAATTTCAAAAAGGCTTTTAATAAAGTCCCAGGATAAACACATACTGTTTAATCATTAAACTCATCAAATCATAAAATAAATAAAACCTTAGAGTAAAAATGGACTCAGATGCTGTGGTCATGTCATCTGCCGAAGTAATCCACCACACCAGCGTTATATACATAACAATACAACAATTCCCATTTGAAGCAAGGATGCAGTCATTTAGCTCATCTCCTTGTGGCCTTGGGCAAACCCAAGATCACAGGGGTACCTTCAGGCCCCTGCCCTATGCCAGTAATTCAGCACTAGCACCAAGCAAATCCTGAGAAAATCTCCACACCTTTGCCTCATCTACATCACGTAACACATAGGATGACATGGGAACATGAAGGCAACGGGGCACACCAGTTCTCAAGCAGGATTTGACCCAGTGTCAGCTTGTTGTCCTTCCAAGCGCACACGCTTGCCTCCACGCAACAACTGCCCAGCGAGCAATTAGACTGTCCACTACCGGCTGCTCTCTCATCATAGGATCACAGAATCATAGAATGGTTAAGGTTGGAAGGGACCTCAAAGATCATCTAGTTCCAACCCCCCTGCCGTGGTCAGGGAAACCCTCCACTACACCAGGTTGCCCAAAGCCTCATCCAACCTGGCCTTGAACACTTCCAGGGATGGGGCATCTACAACTTCTCTGGGCAACCTGTGCCAGTGCCTCACCACCCTCAATGTAAAAAATTTCTTCCTTATATCTAATCGAAATCAGGCCAACACTTGATGAGTCAGGACAATCAGGAATCCAAACAGTATCCACGTTCCTCCAGTAAGGTCCTTTCCATGAATCTCACCTTGGAGGTCATGCACCACAAGTGACAGCCAATCAAGGCACAACTACTGAGAAAACCCCTTTTCTGGCTGACATATTCATGCGCCCTGCAGGAAAGAGTTCAGTACCCCTACAAGAAGTAGGCACATATCCTCGGAACCCACAATTAACTTAATTTCAATAAAGCTTTGCAGTAATTGTCTTATAAACATCCATCAGCAATAACACGCAGGACCTGCCACGACCGGGCTGCTTAGCTATCACATCTGCCAGCCTCTGACACTGCCACAACCACTTGAGGAGCAGCTCCCCTCGCTTCACCACGCGTTGTACAGCCTGGCCCCGAAAGGGCTTAGCACAATCGTCACGCAGCACCACAAGGGAATTCTTCTCATGGGCCTGCTGCTGTTGGACAGGGCTGGAAGCTGGTGCCAGTTAAATTCAGCTTAAAAATCAGGTGGATGCTTTCACAACAAGAACAGGTCACTACTAGCACAGCTGTGGGAGGTTCTTCACCATGGTCAGTTTTAAAATCAAAAAGATGCTTATTTGAAATGCAGGCTCAGATTTAAACAATTCAAAGTGGTCCTGTAGCCATTCTCAGACGAAAGATCAAGTAGTATCCCAGCTCCTCCAAAGCCTCATTAGTGAGGCATGGGAGTTCAGCGCTCTGGTCGCACTGCCCAGGTCGAGGGCCACTGGTGCTCCAGACTCTGTTTGTTTCACTCCTCCACAACTGACACAGCCTTCAGGATCCCCTAACCACAGATGAAACTTTCTTTTCATAACCCTTAAACCATGTCTCGCTTTTGCCCTTGCAGCAAACCTAGAGTCAATAGCAGACACCAACCAGGAACAGCAAAAAAGCCAGCTGTCTTCCTACAGGTTTTGGAAAAGTGTGCCTAGTCTCGTCTGGTGTTCAGCATCCCAGGTGATGAAGCCTTGGCGGCTACCTTCAGAAGACTCAAAATGCAGTCTTAGTTTGAAAATTTTCCAAGTAGAAATCATGTCTCCCTGGATACCCCTACACTGCAATGGAGGTGCAACTCTAGGGACTTTAAGCACCATAATAACACAAATAAGCATCACAATTTCGAATTCATACTACTTGGATCACACTTTAGTTCCCACTCTATTCTTCCCAGTTATGATATTCATCTTCCCAAACAGCTCCATGTGCTGTCTTTGGTAATCACAGCCTTCAAACACTTGGCCCTGTTATGCCTACCAACATCTACATATTCAAAACAGTCTCTGAAGCACATGCTAAACATCTGTTTCAACCACCTTTCTCTTTAGAGTTTAAGCTGTTTGCTGGAAAATTGCCATCCTAATGGCTAGCTCCTCTGTTAGCGAACTGGAGAATTCATTTTGTATTTATTGATTGTTCCCTAATGAAGAGTCATAAAGGTGCCAGAGACTCTTGACCAGACACTACTTAATTAGTAGCAAAGCACATAAAATCCCAAATCAAACCAAGCTCTTTGTCCAATGGCTCAGATGCTGGAAAAGAAAGATATGACATCATTTTCTGCTTACACAGAAGTCCGTAAAATTTTATTAAAAAAAACCCTAAGGAAATTGAAAAACTATATAAATTGTTCATTTCCTTCCAGTTCCTAAGACACCAAATAGGTCTTCCAGAATCAAACCACACTTTGCTAAAGGAAATATTCTTCATAAAGGACCCAGCAATATGTATCACGCATAGAATTTATTTTAAACTAGACAAAGGCAAATACCAATAAAACATTTGTCTTCTGAACAATATAGAGAAAGGTTTATGTTACATAAGAAGTCAAATTGCAAAGCATCCAGAAGGTATTAAAAATTTCCTCTAATGGATCTGTCTTTTCATCATAGTAGCTCATACAACAGTCCAACTTTTATGTTTCTTCAAACTACGCTGTGTTGGAGTATTTTCTGAGGGTTCTTCCCTCAAGAAGCAGAGAGACAAGCGAGAACTCCATTAAGTGTCAAGGGTTTTTTTTCCTCTCAAACTTAAAGCCTCAAAAACATCCTGAATAACTGGTATCTCCTTGCAAGTCTTGCAAATTAAGTCATCCTGAAAGTTAATTTCCTCTCTTCCATATCATTTAAATTCTCAATTAAATAATTGAGAAAATAGCAGGAAGGGAAAAAAAACCACAACTAACAGAAGGAGGTGAAAGCCCATCGTTCCTACATGGCAATAGCATTACTGCTTCTATTATGCTCTCTGCTTGTTGAAGGCATGTCTTCAGAGCAGTAAGGTGGCTTGGATTCTTTGGGATAACGTAACATGCGCACAAGGCAATAAAGATTCATGGTAACTCAAAATCCATTAAATACAGATGCCCTCACATTAATCCACAATCCCTGATGCAATTATTACTACATATGAAAGAAAATACCCTTAATGTGTTCAAAAACAGTCTTCCATTTTCCTAAAATCTACCACTTCAATGCCAAACACCTGTTCTGCAAAAAATTCAAAATTCTATTCGTGATCTCTGTCCTGTATTCAGCAGTCGACGTGATACCAGCTTTAACCATCCAAAGCTTCTAGCCCTCTTATCATCATGATAAACAAGTGTATTCCACTAGAAAGAGAGCTGGTTTGCACAAATAGAGAATGAAGTAGGACAATATAAAGGACAAAACAACCACAGTAAGGCAAATATGCCAAGAAGGCAGAATAGCAAAGGTATGTATGGGCTTCTCAGACATATGAACTTGGCTTCTTTACCATAATCCATTATTCTTTCCTGGGTTTTTACACTTCACTTTTTTCTATAATCATAACACTATACCAACAGCATTTCAGCTATCCCAGATAATTTCAGTAAACCTTCCACAGAGTTTTGCTTTGTGCTCCCAGCAGATGAGACTGGATGCTCACTGGTACATCTCCCAAGAAAATAAGCTCCAAAACAACAAAAATTTAAAAAAAAACGTAGAACAGAAAGCAACAGTACAACGTGAGGGACAGCTAATCACAGAGAAAGTCAGGAAGGGTCATCAGCATGCTGCAGAGTAAGGCCACACAGAAACCTCTGCTTACCCCTTGCTCGGATTCCAGCAGCTCTGTTTTGACTCTGACTGCCGGCATCCCATCAAGCATTAACATTCTGTTCTCAAAGGCGCTGATGTCCTAAGGCAAAAAAAAAGAACGAGGTTAATAAAAAAAAATAAAAAATGAAAAACACTTGGTTTAATTCATTGGTTTAGTTCTATGATACTGTAGAAGAAAGTAAGTGGAAATGAAGTTAACAAAGATATAATAGTAATTTCAAGTAGTAGCTACCAAGTTAAACAGCTACTTCTGTTAAAATACTAAATTATACTTTTGGTTATCCTTAAAAGAGAACTAAGTCTTCGCAAGCGACAAGGGAAAATCATCTCCAATGACTGTTTTTTAATTTTAAATTAATCATGCAGGTCCATGTATATAAACTCCTTGCTTTAGAACTGGAAAGGAGAGCAGTGATCTCAAATATCTTCAGGTTTTTGGCAGTATACTCAGGTATATTTGTTTTCAATCAAAACTTGTGTACTTCTGTATTACCTAGAGAAAGCATACATTCAAATTCAGAAGAGCTATAGTGGAGGCCTGTACACACACCCCCCCATAAATTAACACACATTAACAACTCCTCACACTTTGTATCATTCATTCTCTTGCAAAGTCATCAGTGTTTGTCAATGAGTATCTCCACGCACTCATCTCTGACACGAAAGAAATAAAAAAACATGTTAAAAACTTGCATTGTCCTTGTAGTAATGGACAATATACACTGAGAGCTTCAAAGTGAAGTGAGATTTGCAGAACGGTGCTTCGTCGAGTCAACAACCCTGCTATGAATGTCTCATTCTGCTCTTGAGGGATGGAGACACGCAAAACAACCTCTTGTGCCTTCAGTTCAAACACTACCCAAACACTACCCGAACCTGAGTCCATTTTCTATTCCAGCCAAGGCTCAAGGCTGGTGTTTGAAAGCTGGTCCCTTCAGCTGCCATTTCATTTGGACAACATGAAGAGAATAAAAGACATTTTATCCCTCAAGCTAGAATCTGACCTTACGAATCCAGACACTTTGGTCAGTGGTACAGAAATACAAAGACGTCACAGCTACTTTTCAAATAGCAAAACTACAGCACGTACCGCTTATAAGTGACTCGTTCACAACCACTTGCCTCTGGAAAGCAGCGTTCAAGACTGAAAACTCACCTCCGCTCTAACCATTACCTCGTAGTCCTCAATAACTGCACTGTAATGGAAAAAAAAACGCTTTCCCTGTTTCATGGGCAGCAGATCTGTTTAGTATTGCACGGTGCCGTTATTCATAAAGAATATGTTCGTAGCCCTGTTTCTTATCATGGCTGATCAGGGAAATTTTAAGAAAAATGGTCTGTCCTAACGGAGCTTCCAAATTACATTTTAAAACTTAGATTACTGTAAACATTTTCTTTTTTCATCCCAGGATCTTCCTTTTTGGGGATATAAACATGGCAGCAACTCTTTATTTTTGTATGCTCCTTTACTTTATTGCAATTTAAATGACATGCTGAAAAACAGGGAAATTGATACACCCATGTTCCATCATGGTGTCACAAGCAGAGCAAACGACCTGCTTAAAATCCGCGTTGCCCCCACTTTGAACCCCATGTGTTACGGCACACAGAGCTGCAGTTTGATACTACAGGGCAGGCAGGAACTTGACGGTAAAGCTGATAAGCAAATGCAACAGCAAAAGCAAATGCAATCTGTGGGTTTTTTTTCCTTAAAAAGTAAGATTTGGATAGTTCATAAAAAGCTTTAAATACTTAAGTTATAAAATTTCGGATCAAACGTAATTTTCAGGAGAACACCTCTGCATTCAAACACGTATCAACGAAGATGATTCCAGCTGTTGAGATGTCTCAGCCCCATGCTATGCCACCACTATGTACCTACTGCATTTTAAGCTTGACACAACAGGAAGAAGGAAAAAAATATATGTTCTTCCTATGTCTTCTCAGCATTTTATTTTGTGCCCCTTAATCTTTATTCAACATTCGAGGCACGAGGTGAGGAAAGAGCAGGAGGGACTCCGATGCCATAAAACAGCTGGCTGAAATTGTTCCAGGCTTTACATTCCTCTTCCCAGCAAGGGCGGTGGTGCACTGTTTACTTACAAGAAGTGGATCTCGGGTATCCCTGAGCTCCAGTCCTTTGGATGTGGTTTGGGGTGGAGCAAGAGCAGGAGCCAGCCTGAAAAAAACAGTAGCTCTTCTGCAAGCAGAGAGGTCCCTCTCCCTTCTTGATTTATAGGCAGCACAGTTGAGTTTTACAGCAAGATCAGGAATATACCATCATCAAGCATCCCTTAGGCTGTTTAGCTCATAGACAAAGAAGGATGAGCTGATATTGCTCCATGTCCCTGAGGAGGTCCTACCCGACCCGCCTGAACGAAGGGACGAGGCTGGCTGGCGCAGGCAGGAGGAGGGGGGAAGACAAAGCACCATGGAGGAAAGGCAGGTTTAATGAACTGTTAGAATCTGATTAGAGGCTAATGTCCCTTTTAGTGCTTTGTACCAATTTATAGCTGATATACTTGAACCATTTTTCCCCACTGGCTGTGATAAACTCATTAGTTTTAAAAATGCAAGCTAACCAGAGCCTTTGAAGTTTAAAACTGATAAATCATGAAAACCTGACTAGTTCATGTACCATTTAACACATTTACATTTAACTAAATTTTCATAGCGCTCGCTTCCCCTTTTGTTCTCTAAAATCATATTTCTCAAAAGCAGCGCTCAGCCTTTTGAGCGCTGGTCTGAAGAGCGAATGCAGTGAATAGCTCTGGCTTTTGGGTCATTTATAATTCAGGGCAGCAATAATCACAGAAGTAGATTCTTTCCAAACTATTTGATCTCTTCTGCGTTTATAACTGGAAGGACATCGTGTGACACATCCCAGGGGGGCCACTGCCTGGTAACAGCTGAGCAGATCCAGTCCGTGTGCTATACATATGGATGACATGCTTAGCCCAACAGTCGCCCGGAGAGCTGATCCTTCCAGACTGCGCTCTCCTGCCATAACCAGCGTTTGTGCTACAGTATGTTCAAAGCCATTCAGCAAATAGGATGTAATTGCTGAGGTTTGCATACGGTGGGCAGTCATCTAAGGCAAAGGGGCTTGACACCCCCACGGGGGCTGTGAGGAGTGAACTGAGGTCCCCAGGGAGACCTTCCCATCAGTCAGGCAGATGGAGCATCCACACCTGGGTGAAGCCAGGCTGCTCCAGCACCCTGCGTTAATTGATGATACTCAGGAGATCCACCAGCAGAGACTGCCAATATGATGTATTGAGTCAACGCGTCTTTCAGGCTGCCGTCCCCTCCTGGCTCACTCAACTCTTTTCATCCACTGTGGCAGCTAACTTCCAGCTCCCAACATTGCCCAGGTGAAGGTGACCCGAATTTCTGTGACATGCCTCCCTTTTCTGTTCTCCCGCCTCCCACCCCAAACCAGCTGGTGGACTCCAGTAACCCACCTAGGTAAAACACATAGCAGATGTATGTCCTAAAGTGGGCATATAATCAAGCCAAACACTGCATGACCTTACCAAAACATCTGTTCTCTTGGATCAATTAACTAACTCATCCTAAAAGAGATCAACCTCTCTTTCTCGGTGCCATCCATTGGAGCCTTTCACTAATCACTTTTAGACATTTATTCCCTTGAAAGATTAATTAGAAACACAAATCATACCCAAGTCTATATGAGCAACTGCTATTAGAGCAGTTGTTACAGAAGATGGATAAGCTTTTGGGCTTACAAGCTCTTCTTCTGAGAAGCTATGGCAATCAATCCAATAACAAGACTCTCTCCCCTCCCAAAAGGCGTACATTTTCAGTACAGCACCGCTGCAACTACAACTGGCATTTTCTTCATGCGGATGACTTTCTGTTGCCAGCTTTAATCAAATTATTTTCAGCTACTTTAGAGGAAATAAAAACAAAACAAAAACTCGTATCTCATCCTGGTACAAAAGCCCCTAGCATCCTGTAGTGCTTATTTAATTATGAATTACACTGTTATGAAATTTGGCTCCATCCATGAGAAGGGCTGCAGTTTTGTAGCCAAGTTTTTAATTTGGCCAAGCCATATGTTCAAGAATCACGCTGCAAAGTTTTAACAACAGAGGAGCTGGTGTCACAACCAACCTCCTGTCCTGAGACACCACCAAAGACGCCCCTAAATAATAATTTCTTCTAAGCACAATATGACAGAAATTGCACATTCCCAACCCATACCACAATTGTTGTCTCTCCCACTCTCCAAGATTTTCATGTCTAGATGCTCAGTACCAAAGCATTAAAAACGAAACAATGCACTCCCAGACCTGGCCAGACTGCAATGGGCACAACCCCAGGAAGAAAGCAGTGAGCTCAGGCTTCAGAGTACCCAGAACCCAGATCTCACGTTTCCTGCATGGATCAACAAACATTTACACTCTTGTGTAAGACAATCTCCTCCTCTTGTTTCTTCTCATGAACGCAAGAGATACAAGGTGGATGATGCTAGTTACTGCTGTCACCAATGAAGGTAATGGTCTTAGTCACGCTGAAGAGCGGCACACTGGCTAGAAAAAGCCACTAATGGTTCTGAACTTTTCCACGAAACACTGAAAATGTTCAGCTGACAATTCAGTGCTTCGTAACTCTGGTGGGTTGACCTTAGCCAGCTGCCAGATGCCCACTCAACCACTCTGGCACTCCTCCTCAACAGGACATGGTAACAAAATAAGATGGAAAAGCTCATGAGTCCAGATAAAGACAGGGAGATCACTTATGAAGTATAGTCACAGGCACACCAGATTTGATTTGCGGAAAATTGATTTACTATATTACCAATTTATTAAAATAGAGCTGGATGGCAAGAAACAAAGGGAAAAAACCTAAAGCACCTCCCTCACCCCTCTCTTCTTCCCAGGTCCAACTTCATTCCTTCATTCCAACTCTACTTTTGTGTACAAACTTAACTTCTAACATGACACACTTTCGGTTTTTTTTGCAAAATTAAATCACAGTTGGGGAAGAATAGTCTCAAATTCAACATTCAAGATACAGTAAAAAGTTTCAAGTTTAAGGAGAGTACGC